ATTTCTTTTAATTTAGAAAAAGAAAGTGACAGGAAAATATATGAACCTAGAAATTATTCTGTTAACTGAAATAACAGATTCAAGATGAAAAATATTAAATGTTCCATCTCATTTTTATATCTTAAGTTTCAAGCTATTTGTATGAGTTAAAATTCACGTATACAAACATACAACTAAATTTTAGGATCTACTATTACATTGCTAAAATCTGTGAAAACATGATGCAAATATAACTGATACTTTTTATATTTTTACAAATCAAAATATGTAATTATCAAATAAGAATTTAAATTTATGTGTGTGAGGTTTGCTTATTTTTCTATTTTATTGTTATAGATAGTATTCATTTCAAATTTTTGACAAAAATATTAGTAAAAGAAATAAGAAAGGGAATACTTTTAATACAGATGATACAGGACTTGATAAAATTACTAAGTGGTGGGTAAATGACATAAATTTTTTGGTTGTTTGTTTGTTTGTTTTTTCGAGACAGGGTTTCTCTGTGGCTTTGGAGGCTGTCCTGCAACTCGCTCTTGTAGACCAGGCTAGTCTTGAACTCACAGAGATCCACCTGTCTCTGCCTCCTGAGTGCTGGGATGAAAGGCGTGTGCCACCACCACCACCACCACCACCACCCCCCCCCCGGCTTAATGACATAAACTTGATGAAAGCAAGAATAATTCGCTCATGAGGAGAGTTGAAGTCTTTGAGGGAAATTCATGTTATTGAGGACAAATATTTATACCTAGCAACAGGTGTCTCTGTGAAGCATATCTAAAGAGCAAGAAAAGGACCAGTAAGCACTAAGCATGCAAGCTATTTTTGATGTTGCTTGTTTAGTGTGCTTTCAGATGCTCATAATAGAAGGCAGCCAAGAGCATCTCAGACAATAAGGACCATCTCTGTGACTCCAGCTACTGAGTCAGCTGTTCAGTGATCTCACCAAGGACCCATGTTCTCATCATTCTTTTCTGCCATCCATAGCCTGTCAGCAGGTCCATTGGGCTTGTCCCTACAGGGTCATGTGATATCTTCCATGGCATCAGCTTCTGACTCAAAAGTGACCAAAAGATGACCAGATTCAAGAAATTATGATTCTGTTTTGCTTTGTTTCAAGAGCAAAGGAAACTAACCCAAAGATTCCCCTATTTTTTCTCCTCCTTTTTCTTACTTAAGCAAGGTTGCATTCCACATTCATACCAAATCAAATGTTGATTTTTCCCACCCCACCCCCACACACCCCAGAAAAAGAAATTGCCAAAGTTGCCTTCGTGCCATCCTGATTTACTTGGGGCTAGACTTGGCTAATGAGGACCATGGGGCTTGGTAACTGAGGACTTGTCTCTTGGCAAGGATGTGAAGGAACTGACTGCTGAGTGGGCATCCCATATTGTTTCTATCCATTCGGATTATCAGAGAACCTTAACAATTCCAGGCTGCTCAGAGAGGCTTGACGTAGGAGATAAGTACTAAACTGTCATGGTCAAGAGTAGAACCTGATACTATATGGGGAACGTGCGCACAGAAGATAGTACTTTAACTTACAGGCTCTCTTTTTGAAGTTTCCAGATAGAGTAAAATCTCAAAATAAGTAAGCAGGTGCTCTTGGGGTTTACAATGATTGATGATTGTTCTGTATAATAAACTCTAAGATCCCGTGAGCCAGAGAGACACAAGAGAGAAAAAAAAGGAAGGATTGTTGTCACCATTTTAAGCACCTACTGTTTTTTAAAAGTCTCAGAGTAGTCACTATATGGGAAGTTAAGAAACAACATAAAATTTAGTATACATCTCCATATTTTGAATTTAACTTACAAAGGAGATACATGGAGAATTGTGTAGCACGATTTTTATCATTTGTGTTATAGAACTGTATCTTATCTGGAGCATAGGACTTATAAATTCTTAATCTGGCTCTGATGAGTAAATTTCAGTTCCAAAAAGATATTTGAAATAGGTTATAAGAATCCACCTTATGCCTCTCAAGCATTTGTTTTTTAAATGCTTTCGAAGGTTAAATTGTGGGCTATATGCTCCATTCCACAATGAATAAAACTAAAGAAATGGTTTAAATGGATAATTCTGAAGTGTGGAGTGACAGGAGTGACCATCCAACAATTAATGATTTGGCAGCTAATAGTGTCATATCCTCTGTGTCTATTATGGGTTTTTTTCTTAGCAACAAGGTTCTGATAGGAACATTTTAATACCAATTTTAAACATGCAGAATATGATCAAAGTATAATGGTATGCATGTGTAAAGGTATCATAATAAAACCCATTATTTTGTACAGCAACTTAAACATTTTAATAAGAAGGTATATATGTATGAAACAAGGTCCAAAGAAGAGTAATTCACTAGAGTTTACAATGGCTGTTAGTAGTCAAGTGGCAATTGGACTTCAGGTCTTTCTGACCCACAGATCTATTGAACAGTCCTGCTTCTTGGGTATTTGTGTTAGGCATTAAGCACCTACTATGTGCCAGAAATTGAACAGACAAGAAGCGGTGTACCTATCTCGACACACACAGAAAGAGGAGGAGGTAAGGGGCTGCTACCAATCCCAAGACACACTGACATCTAAAGGGAAGGGCAGTTGGTGTGTTCTTTGGTGTGGAGGCAGAACAGGAGTAGGTGTGGTAGAGATAAACAGGCACACCCGAGGCATAAGAAACACAGTGGCCAGGGCTGGGCTGGACTGGTGAAAAATACCTCTACAGTAAGACTGCCTTTTCCCAGGTAAGTGAGGTTCCCTTACTCTCACGTGTATATGCTGGAGGAGAGCCAGGCACCCAATTCCTACTGGTAGATGTCTTTCTGCTTGAATACAGTATAGCCCAAATATTTTTAACACTGGTAGAAGCTTATGTTCTCCAGAAGGTTAGCAAGCAACTGTTTACCGGGCATTATTAAAGTCTTACCATGTTACCTTTGGGAAAGCCATCACTGATGGGCATGTCTCAAGCCAGAAGCTGAGGCATTGCAGCCTCCATCATCTGGGTCAGTGTTATCTTAGCTATCTGTCACTTATGGAGAGTAAGTGTGATTCCTATGGTTATTGGCCCAGATGGTGCCACTCGGTTTCAAATGCATGATTCGTCATATGGAAAAGAATGAAATTTCTTTGAGCACATGAACATAACCAGGCAGGTTTCAAAATGATCTCACTAGTGCATCCCACACTTGCCAGTGTTACCAAGAAAAGACAGCAGATGCCTGTATTTATCGAAAGTCAGCATTAGTAATTACACATCTTTTCTATCTGGGCTACCAACAGCTCGTATTACAATCAGTGCCAAAATGAATATGCCCCCACAGCATGCTGGAAGGGGCTGGAGAGATGTTGGTAGAGTTTTGATGCACAACCAAGAGGTCCTAAATTTGGACTCCCCAGTACCCATTCATAAGAACACAGTGCCACATCCCTCTCCAACATGCTGTTTTAAGAGTACAAAAAATGTTGATGACCCATATGGTGCTGGACAGAGTTGGGAAGGTACTTTACTCAGTCCAATCATACTGATCATGGGGAAGCTACTTAAGCCAACTTTCTAAGTATGATGAAGAAAGTAGTCCACTTCTCAACAAGGCCCTGAACTCATTTTCAAAGTGAATTTTTCTATGTTTAGATGGAAACTGGAATTACTCTGTGGAAAATTATTAGTCATAAGTCATATTCCTTTACAATAGTATATAGAAGTTCGCTGTCTGACTCAAGAGATAGACTCTTGCCATGAATGTCCAAAAGCTCTGAGTCAGAAAGACACTTGGATCCAATTTGCTTTTGCTCAAAGGCTGGTAATGTAGTCTAGTGGTAGGATTTTTTTCCTAGCATGTGCAACTTGACAAAAAAGAAAAACCAAAACAAAGCATGGCTTAATACTTCGTTTCTGTACTACCTTGGGCAATCTCTTCATCAAAACTTTAGATACTAAAGCATAAAGGTAATAAATTTTACCTTAGAAGGTTGCTTGTTTAAATCCATGAGCTGATCCAAATAAATACTGATAATAGTATGTGACTCATTTTTATTGTTTGTGAATTTCATATATGCATATAAATATGCTTTGATCAAATGCTCCCATTTTTCCCTTCCAAATCTTCTCCTACACCCCCATCACTTTTCCCTCTGAACTTCATGTGTTCTATTTTTTTTTAACCCATTTAGCTCTGCCTGTATATACATGAGTGTAGGACCATCTACTGGAGCACAGGTGGTCTCTCACTTGCATCCATGAGAAACAGTCTCCTTCCTCCAGCAGTCATTACTTGGCATTAGCATCTCATCTAGAGGGGGGATTTCATGAGGCCTCTCCCCAATTCAGAATGGAATTTTTGCTGGCTTGCTCTTCTGTGGGTCTTATGCCTACAGTCACAGCCACTGTGAGTTCATGTGTGCAACAGCCCTGCCATACCCAGGAATTACTGTTTGACTACAGACATCCACTAACTCTGGCTCTTATGATCTTTCTACCCCCATCCTTCCTGCTGTGATGCCTGAACCTTGGGCAAAAAGGCTGTGTGTGTTACAGACCTCTTGTCTAGAGCTGAACACAAATAGTCTCTTACTCTCTGCCCATTGACTGGTTCTGGGTCTTTGTCACCTACTACAAAGTTCTCCTGCTGAGAGTACAATACTAATCTGAGTATGATGAGAAAATCTTAGCAGCAATTTAATATTATGTCCATTTAGCAGAATAATAGTATTGCATTCTCCCCTAAGCCTAAGACCTAGCCAGTCACATTTGGTCTGGTTAACAGACATGAGTTCTGCCTTGTAGTGTGAGCTTTAAATCCACCCAGTAAGTTATTGGTTGCTCTCATTTGTGCCACTATTGTACAAGTGGGCATTTCTTGCCATCCCAGTCATTATCATACCTCACAGAGTTCACAGCTAACTGATGAATACTTTTCTCCCCGTGACATAAATGAACCGTCTAGCACTACAAAAGTTAGCCAGCAAGGATGAAGCTTCCAGGTTGGTGAAAGACTGATTTACCCATGTTCTACGACTGGAGTACATGGTGTTTTCAGCAATAGCATCTTAGTTTCAGGCTCTGGAGAGTAATCAAGAACAACGTCTTCCATGTTTCTAGAACCTAAAGAGCCATAAAGAAACAGAAATTTAAGTTGCTTGTTGGTTGGTTAGTTTTTTATATAGGTTCTCTCTATGCCTGGAGCTGCTATACAGACCAGGCTGGCCTTGAACTCACAGATATCCTCCTGCCATTGTCCCCTGGGTACTGGAATTAAAAATATGTTACCACACCCAGCTACAACTTAATTTTTAGAAGCAAACAGACTGAATAAAGGATTATAAAGACAGTTACTTAAGAGCCATTATTTGATAAATGAGAGAAATGTGGAGATTCGGTCTCTTTGAGAGTGCTATACAATATAGAGGACAATCTGCGTGTGGTGCATGTTATTTTGAGGCTGACCACTCGGTATTAGGTTGTTTCTTGGCCTCAGAATTCCTTATCTGCCTGTCGTTCTTTGTGTAAGTCTGGGGCCCTGTGAAAATTCCCCCTTCCGTGTTACCATGTCTAGTAACATCATACAAAATAGTAGATTGTGCCTATATATTTGGGAATACACATATACATAACAACAATTAAGAAATAGAGGATATGAGTTTGAAAGAGAGAGCCAGGGAATGCATGGGAGGAACTGAGGGTGGTAAAGAAAAGGGAGAAAATGATATATTTTAAGTTCAGAGAATAAAAAAAATCAAAATAATAAAAGAAGTTATAGCGCAACTATCCCCAAAACATCAATTTCCTCCATATTGGCAGTCTAAATGCTTTAAATATTGATATTCAATCACCAACAGGACCAGTCCATTCCAGCATCCCAAAATGAACTCAGTACCTTACCCTCAAAATCTTTCTTAAGTGTCTTTCAGTGATTTTATATTCCTCTATTGAGAATTCTCTAACACAATGTATTTTTACAGTATCAAATATTTTACTTTCTGACTTCTTGATGACATGATCTAGCAGACTCACCAGCCCACCAAAGACGACATCTCTTCTGACTGGCCTCCAGTTCTTTTTATTTCCTCCTGGGAAGTTTATGAATGATGCTCCTTATAAGCCAGCCTTATTGCACATTTCATTTCTGCAGTTCTAGTCCTATTGGTTTGCGTGTTCCCTTCTCTTCTTACTGACGTGTTCCCTTCTCTTCTTACTGACATGCTTATTATAGCATGCCTGGAAAGGAATGGTCATCCTCGACACAACAACATAATTGTTCTTTTCCTAACAATAGTAATGACAACTGTTGGCTGAACACCTCTTTAGTGACAGGCACACAAGTCTGCCAGGGTCCTCAGGATATCGGGGAAATGTTATTTCTTCTCCTATGTGGCATCGTGGTGCAGCCCATAGACATCAAGTAACATACCCTGTTGGGGGAAGTCCTGTGCATTTGTCAATAAAGTACTGTTGAGCCTATAGGGAACCAAGATAGGAGGGACTAGGAGTCCAGGAGGATTCTGGGAAGGAGAAACACAAGAGAGTTCGAGATGTAACGCCATTGGGGTAGGAAGCCCGGAAACCTCTCCGGTAAGAGACATACTTAGATTAACAATTATGGGGTAATTACTTAAGTCAGAGCTAACCAGTAAGAAACAAGCAAGGCCAACAGCTTCATAATTAATATAGCCTCCTGTGTGTTTATTTGGGACTGATGCGGATCTAGAACCAGGCGGGCGGGAAGGCTTCTCTCAAAGAAAAAGCTTCTCTTAACAATACCCAGTCTCATATATGTGGAAAGTGGCCACAACTGAAGCTGAATATCCAAGCACTGCACTATAATGTATAATGTAGGAGGAGATGACAAACTTTCTAAATTTATTTCTGTCTGATCTTATACTAGATATTGGCTTAGTCAAGACTCAGACCTTTACTTTAGGAAGGAACATATTACATATTAAACAACTGGTAAATTGGGCTCTGTAAGAAACACAGATAATACTAATTTCTGTGAGACATGAGGTGGTTGACTCTATTCAATTGGCTTTGAGTAAATCCTACTGGAGACATAGGATAAGCCAAGTTAAAAGAAATATTACCACTTGGATAAGGCATATCATCTTGGCAGGTCTTAGGAGGTGTGAGCCATGGAAATGAACCTGAACTGAGAGATGCAGTCTCTGTCTCACTACTGGCATCCGGGCTGGAGAAAGGAGGTGGAATCAGTAATGAGCTCTAACCGTGGGTCCTGCTCACCACAATTGAGGAAGCAAGAAGAGTCAGGTGATTACATGATAATATTTGCTAAGGTCTGGGCTCAGATTAGTGCATCACCAAGTCCTTAGAAAAATAGATTAATGAATATACTGGGCAAAGGATGTGTGTATATAGAGACATCTCAGTATTCAAGTGAGATAGGAGGGCCTGGAAGTAAGGGTGCTGTAGCAGATATGGTGGGTGGAGGGCAGGCATGTGAAGCACAGTAACCTCAATTAGTATCAAGTTCCTACGGAATCGTGTGTGTGTGTGTGTGTGTGTGTGTGTGTGTGTGTGTGTGTGTGTGTGATACATGCCCACACGTGTGCAGGTGTGACTGTCCCTGTGCATGTGGAAGACACAGGAGAATGTTAGATAGGCTATTCTATTGCTCTCCACCTTACTCCCTTGAGACAGGTCTCCATTTTATTTTTAACTCAGTTTCTCACAGCATTCTACAAGCTTTCTGAATCTTGGAGAGGGGCTGGTGTTTTACAGGATATCCTAAGTGATACTGAAGTTCTGTCAGATCAAGAACTACAGCCTTGCTTGACTTGATTGAGACATTTGGGGTGAACTGTTACAGACATGGAGAGGTTTAACATGGAAGCCAAGACTGTACTCTGTACTGAAGAAACCCACAGAAACAGTTCACCTGATCTAGTGAGAGTGCAGAGACCCTAGTCTTAAAGCTGAGGAACTGGTGGTATTGAACCGAACCAAGCCCTCTGAATGTGGGTGCCAGCTAGGAGGCCAAGGCAGTCTATGGGACCTCTAACAGGGGAGCCAGTGCTTATTGTTAGATCACACTTTGGGACTTTGGGAGCCCATTCCCTATGGAGGGATACTATTGCAGCCCAGATATGGGAAGGAGGACCTGGGCCCTCCCCCAAATGATGTGATGGACTTTGATGATCCCCTGTGCAGGGCCTCACTATACCTGGGTAGTGGGTGTGGGTGGGTTGGGGGGATCAGTGGGGAGCATGGGAGAATGGGAGGGCAAGGGAATGGGGGATGGATATGTAAATAAGAGTGCTTCCAAAATAAATAAATAAAAATGTTTAAAAAAATACATTGAGTTTGAAGAAAGACCCAAACAATGGCTGAGAGTGTTTAGAGGACAGAGGGAGGCAGAGTAAAAACCATGGGAGATAGATTATCAAGACGGATGCAGTCACAGCAGTGATGGAGAGGATGGCTGTGACTTCCACTGGGCATCCATTATGAATCTATCTATTCTGTTTGTTCTTTCATATCTTCTCCTATAAAAGTCACAACACTGTAAGTGGTTGCTTGGGTTCCACATGGATAACTGTGCTTTGGAGTGGGTGGGGGCAGGACAACAGAGATGCCTGAGACTATGCAGCGAGTAAGTGCACCTCCAGGCAGGATCGTGACTGTGGATCTCTGAATGGGGTGGGAGTCGCAGTTCAATGAACAGGGGCCTCTCTCTGAACTCTCTTGAATCAGTTTGCATAGCGCACTCACAGTGAAACTATTATACGTTTCTTCCCCTACCCCCGCTTACAGCACCACAAAGCAAACTGTGGGCTATGCCAGGTAAGCTTGGCTAGCCTTGAGCTATATCCCAACCCTACTTACTATTATATCTTTACACCCTACGATTCATTGTCCTCAGTCCTAATCAGGACTGATCTTGTAGGTCACATGTGAACCTAAAGCCAAGAAGAACTTGTGTGTCTCAAGTGTCGACTAAAGGCTGGCTAGACCATTTCAGATACTCACCTTACCTCTATCTTTTCAACTCACACAGTTCTCTCACAAATCCACTAGAATCTTCCAGAGATCAGGGCTGAATAATTAATCCAAAATCCTCTAGACATATTGCCTCATTCTTTGTACGTTAGAAAAAATCTCAACAAGATATGGAACAACATTTAATAACACAAAAGTTAGTAAAATAGGCACAGCTCACAAAAGTAGACATTACAACTTACATGACAGTTCCACAGGGTCATGTAGGTGGCAAGCACCTGTCACACTAGCCCTTGGAAAGTAGGGGTAGAAGTGTCCTATAAAAAGAATGAGGAGGGAAAAGAGGAGTAGGAGGAAGAAGAAGAAGAGGGGCCTTAGGAGAAAAAGGAAGGAAGGAAGGAAGGAAGGAAGGAAGGAAGGAAGGAAGAAAGGAAGGAAGGAAGGAAAGAAAGAAAGGAAGGAAGAAAGAAAGAAGGAGCAATGAAAAGGGTTACATACACGACGAAGCATAAATCTAGAAAAATTATGGTTTTGGTTGAAACATAGAGGGTTCTGGCATGATGGGAGGCAGAGGCAGGTGGATCTCTATCAATTCAAAGCCAGCCTGGTCTACATAGTGAGTACCAAGTCATCTAAGGGGTACACAGTGAGACCCTGTTGAGAGGTTGGGGTGGAGAGGGGGGAGTCATATATACATATGCATACACATACATATATACATACATACATACATACAAGAAAGCTAAAAGGAAAAAGCTTGCTTCTAACTTAAATAAAAAATGAATAAAAATGGCATTGTTCTTCTATTTTATAATCGCATATTGAATGAACAAAATGTGTGTTTTATTAAAAACATTCTCATATTTACAAATAATAAAAACTTAACTTAAAATGAATAAAAAGGCTTGCTCCCTGGAAAATCATAGCACATTTTTTAACTTTTTCTGAGTTGGGCTCCTATTTTCTAAGCCTCTTATTTTCTCAGTCTTGTAACTGTAATGCTATGGCCCAGAAGTCATCATAGCTGTTTAATAACTTCCTTGACATTGTGAAGATTTTGTCACTTTCTTGACTACCTTATAGATTAGGCTATAACAGTTCTTTGGCTCTATCAGCTGTCGGGAATCTTCCTAGCTGTCCGTTTCCACAAA